AAAGAGTGGGATAGAAGTAGAGAGTCTGACTTCTTGTTTCTGTTTTGCAGTGGTACAGAAAACCAGACTACAACTTTTTTGAAAGCTACAGATCATATCGTAGTACACATCCTGAGCAGCCCTTCTATATCCTGAATCCAAAAATGCAGTGGCAACTCTGGGATATTCTGCAGGAGAATTCCTTGGAGCATATTCAGCCTAATCCACCATCGTCAGGAATGCTTGGTAAGATAATTGCCCTTTAAACTTCTCATTCAGTTTGCAGGAACTCTCCAGGATGCCTTTTTTCCAAGACAACTACAGATTTATGGTGCTTATCAGAGTTGCTTTTAGAGTGTTTGTCTTATGCCAAAATTTAAGCTTCCTGTCTTTAAAGCAGCAGCTCAGTTGTGTTAAAATAAGCGGTTTGCAGCACCATCCTGAAACAGCAGTTCCAAACATGGCCTGGTTCCACGTGGAAACAGGAGAGAGGATTGCAACATCGAGATGGTCTCTAGGATTTCTAGCTTCTAGTGCCAGAGCAGTTCCCACGGGGCGCAAGAGGAAGGATATGGCTCCTGCAGGCTCAGGTCTTGTCAGGCAAATAAATCTGCTTACTGCAGATGAAATCTAAGTACTTGCCTATTTTTAGTATCTATATATGAAATATATATAAATATGAAGATATAGATCTATGGAAAAAAATATAGATAAAGACTTACTGGGGGTTAGGGGATGGTTGGGGTGAATAGTTGTCCTGAAAAGTTCAGTGATATTCCCCCTTTTTCAGCATGCCAGCGTCTTGTTTGTCAGCAGGCTAAATCTGGCCTTTCAGCAAAGGGGCTCTTTTACTTTCTGCTGTTGCAAAGCTTTTCCTTCTTATTGGAGAGCAGATCTCGTGATGAGCTGAATAAAAACGAGCGAACTTGTCAGGATGTTCACATGTATTTGGAGTCACAGCATAGATGTATGGTTTTATTTGCCACGTGGATGTCCCACTGCTGCGCTTTAGCCCCTCCTCTGCTCCCACCTCTGCTCCCATCGCTCCTGGGGCACAGGCACCCTTCTACGGCTGTGTAAACAGAGGCACTTCTTATTTTTGCTAGTCCGGCAAGTCTAATTTTCTTCCACAACCTTGCTCTGGCCCAGCAGCTGTCGCATCAGTGCTGGGAGTTCTGCAGAACAACTGTGTAATCAATGACTTCAGCAGCAAAGTTGTTGTTAACCGGAGTTAGGGGCTCGGAGGCAGGCACCGGCCCGTGTCAGACAGCAAATTCCTCCATGGCTTAACTTTGGGCCAAGCTACCTGCTTTGTTAAACAACTCACCTCGCCAGGTGTGGGGGCACAGCCCAAGTTCCAGTTTGCAGCTCTGGGCTTCCTGGAAGGCCTAAGCGCGAATGAAAATTGTCAATTGAAAAGGTGGAAGAAAATGTGTTTAAAAGGCACCTTAGTTAAACAAGTGGTTCCGCAGATGGGTTTTTCTGATGTCTTGTAAACTGTGTTCCTCTGATCACGCGTGGTCCAGATACTGCATGAATTTTCTGTGATGTTATATATTGGTTCAATTTCCCTAGTAATGGCAAGAATATTTGCTATTTCTTGCACTTGAAAGAAAAGTAGCCGGTAGCTATGGCTTACTTCTGATCTGGCCCACGAGTTGAGAGGTCTGTGCCCGGCACTGGCGTGACTGTCCTCAAGTGGTCCGTGTGCCGGTGGGAAGGCACAGGAGGGCAGCACTGCTCTGCTGCGGGGAGTCTGAAGAGCAGAGGCTGCTCCGTCTCCATGAGCTATCTCCAAGCACAGCCGCTTTCCTATCCATCCCCTGCGTTCGCAAGAGGCAGGTGGGGAAGAGGTGAAGGTCTCATCGCTGCTTACTCAAGCAGGTTTGAGACGGGCTGTTTGGCTCAGCTAATTGCGGTGCATGGTTGGCAGACGCCCGAGTTTCCACGAAGGTCGCAGAGAACAACAGCGCTCTTAAAAATTGGCCTTTTGGCCTGCTGTCGCTGTAAACAATCTGCTGTAATCAAGTCGATTGCAGGCTTTGCAAGAGAGGGCTTCAGAAAACAGCCCCGTCTGGCCAGACTTGTTTTCTCCCCCTCTCGCCTGAACGTTCAAAAAGGGAGCCCTTCCTCTCACAGCTCCTCGCTTACCGCCTGTCTTACGGGAACGTTTAATTGCTTCTCTGGTTTGACACGGGGGTGTCTGCTTTCTTTGCCTCCCTAGGTATCGTGATCATGATGACGCTTTGTGATGAAGTGGACGTGTACGAATTTCTCCCTTCCAAACGGCAGACGGACATTTGCCACTATTACCAGAAGTTTCACGACCGTGCCTGTACCATGGGAGCTTACCACCCCCTCCTGTTTGAGAAAAACTTGGTGAAGCATATGAACCAGGGCACAGATGAGGACATCTATACTCGTGGGAAAGTTACTTTGCCCGGCTTCCGAAACGTGCATTGCTAGCAGATCAGTTTTTAGTGTGTTTAGGCATTTTTCTTGACTGTCAAAGCACTTTTTAAATCAGGGTTGTCAGATTTGTTAGGTCTAAGCACTGGTGTGTTTTTACAGCTCTTCCATGTTGCAACACTTGCTCTTAGGACTTTGTTGCCTAACTTCTCCCAGCTATAAGGCGGTGTTAATACATTGCGGTACGTCCACGCGGTATCTGCATGAGCCACTGCAATAAATTTACTCCCGGTGGAGCCAGGCTCATGCAGCAGGTGGATATCTCTGTCTTCATCTCAACTGATCATGGTGTATGTGAGCCGCAGGAGATGCTTTCTAAGCAGAGATAGCACAAGTCAGGATCAAGTGCTGAATATAGTTTGGTTTGCTTCAGAGGGGTTATGACAGCCAAAAATCTGGTCCATTGAGAAACAAGAAAAATAATTTAAAACTTGTTCCCGTAGTCCTAGAAGCTCTTTGGAGCGGGTCTGATTTATGGATATGCTGTCAAAGCTGTGTACTGATAAGCTAAACTCTTATTCAAAAATATTTGATTTTATAAACAGTTTGTAAAGTAACAATGGCAACTTCCTTTCAAATTATAAGGCTTCTGAAATCATTCAGGTGGCATTTTTGGCAAAGGAAGAGGGAGGCAATTCACATTTCAGTGATTTTTGCAAGACTTTTAAATCTTTTTACTTTTTTTTTTTAATTGCTTAAAATAAATTTTAGTGAACATTTACTTCTCCAGTACAGCGCTGTGCTTGGTACAAAAGCCTTATTTCAAAAACATTTTGGGGAAGATGCTCCGAGGCACAAATGGGAGAACTTACTGGAATTCAGTACCTCTTTCCAGCTCTCTGCTGGTCTACCTTTGCAATTATTGGCAAATTACTTGCTGGCTCATCTCCGGTGACAGAAATGCAACGTCGCTGCTGGCGAGATGAGTTGCAGTTCTCTGCAAGCTAACCGAGGTGCTCTCTCAGTTGCCGTGTGCTTTCTGAATAGGTGGGGAGCGGGTGCATTGCCCCTGGGCTCCACCAGCGGTGGGGATGAGAGCGTGCTCTGCTTCTCGTGCTGAAAGACGGGTGGAATTGAGGAGAGCAGCATTTCCCTGCTCGAGGGGGATCTCTTGTAGCGGCACAGTGGAAGTAGTAGCTCTGCAATCTCTGCACATCACTGAGAACACCTTCCCTGTCCTCTTCCCTACTGATGTGTTTCACAATGTCTGTAAAGAAAGCTTTTTCTTCTCCTGTTCTGAATAAATCCTGTGAAGTCATTGGCCCATTCCTGGCTTGCTTGGTGAAACCTTGTGAATGTCATTGCTCCGTGGCCCTGGGGACTTGTGCCAACCTGGCAGCAGCGCGGGCAGAGCTGGGAGGGAGCTGCTCGTTTCAGTAAGCCCACGGCTCTTGCCCCGTCTCGGTGAGAGGGCTGCTGCTGAGCTGTTCCCCCAGCTCTGAGGCTGGCTTGCTGCACACCCCTCCGTTGGGATGGATTGGGTCTGTCAGCGTGCACAAGTTGTGTGTCATGCGATAGATAAATGTAAAAAAAATTCTGGTCCTTATGCTACTGCTGGGGGCACTAGGACAAGAATGTGGTGGAGGCCATGAGCAGTTGTGTCTTGTAAAGCGTTTGTGTTCATTGTTAGGGAAGGAGAGAGCTTACGGAGGAAAACCCAGCAGAGGTTGTTCAGGAGAACTATAGCAAACCTCTCTCCATCTCCACTCTTGGCTTGTGATGGTGCTGCCTCTCTCGCCCTTGGACCACGGGGTTGTCTGCCACAGCAATTTGCTGCCTGAGTATACGTTTTGTTGGGATTTGAATAGCTTCTGCCTTTTTTCCTAGGCTGTCTGATGTGTTATTTCTCACAATGTTATGTTCCCCCACCTCCCCTTCCTCTGGGTGACGGGACCAGCCGCCCTCCTCGGCTTGGGCCGTGTACGGGATGGATGGTACCTTGCTGCAGGGGAGCAAGCACAGTCTGCCTGCTGTACACCTGGGGGTCCCTCAAACCATCTGCTCCTCTGCAGTGCTCCTGCAAGAAGCAAAAACGTCAGACAGGCTCCCCCAGGGTCTTTCAGAGCCCTCAGTTACTTACAGGCAATAGTGTTGCACTGGGCATGAGATTTCCAACGTTACGCTAAGAGTTTTAGCTAGATCTAATGTGTGATTCATTTACAATCTAAACAAAAGTTTTACAAAAATTATGACAGAGCTTAAAATAGGCCAGTGTTAACCCTC